ATCAGTTTTTTGCCAGCAAAGACCAAAAATTTTATGAGCGTGGAATTATGCTACTACCAGAAAGATGGCAAAAGGTGTTGAACCAGAACGGTCAATATATAATTTAATAAAGTATTTGTTTATTATACGAAAACTGTCTTTCATTTCCACAAAAAAAAAGGAAATGACTTTCCGAACAACCCTTAGTACATGCTTACATGTATACAAACAAAATAATAAAATGTGTAATTATACAACACGCTACTGAAGTGAAACTACTTCAAACACACAAACATACCGGGGTAGGGGTTAAGGAATTGGTTTAATGGTATTATTTGTACACTATGCTTCGCATGGGCGCAATTCTGATAGTAAATATACTATAGAATGTCTTTATATACAACAATCACAGCATTTTTGTCATTAGACAATAGAAACCGGCCGATACCGCCGCAACCGCTATGTCCCTGCATAATATCATCATCATCATAATATCCCTGTAACAACAATCACAGCATTTTTGTCATTAGACAATAGAAACCGGCCGATACCGCCGCAACCGCTATGTCCCTGCATAATATCATCATCATAATATCCCTGTAAATATAATCGAAAATAATCATTTAAATTACATGCTGTAAAGGGCCATATTGATCTATATTAAATGCACAATGTATTTAAAAGTACTTAATTAGGTAAGGATTAATGCTGTATTGCTTAAAATCGCTTCGTAAATAAGCCATTATTTCTCGTAAAAAGTAAATGGCAAAAAATGGTAATTGTGGGTTATCCGTAAGATATAGAGATATACGATCCCGGACTTTTTTGTAGACCTCTTTAAGGTGTACAATACTGTAGTATATAATTTTGATCTATCTCGAAGGGTTCAGTCAGCGTTTGCAATGTAAGCGCAAAAAAAGTGTTTATTTACGACATCACATTACAAACCTCTAAAATTATTATCAGTGTTTCTCTACTACATTATCAGTGGTGTTGTCGAGCCGGAACGCTCCGGAACGTCGTTCCGGTACTTCCTTTTTGGACAGGAACGCGTTCCGGAAAAGAAATTAAAAAGAATTGCTGATTTTTTTTCTAATTTTTGACGAATTTTTATATGTATTATTATAAACAAGGGTTTGAACCGAACCCGAACCGTAACAAAAACCGAAACGAACCGGCTTGTTTTTCCGAACCGTGAACCGGAGTCCGGAACGTTTTTTTTCTGCTGAACCGGAACTCGAACCGAACCGAAACAAATACGTGAACCGGTTTTTGAACCGGTTCAACGGGAATTAAACTTTATTTATAATAAACATTAGAAGAAAAAAATATAAAATTTTAAAAAAGTAAAGATTTCATACATAAATTTTAATACAAGCGGCCCACGGACCGTACGTTACTCATCCCTGGCATAGTTTATTGCCATACCCAAATGGGCCTGCGGCTAATGCTAAGAATATATATACATATACACAAAATGGGTTTCGTAATGATTTTCGTTTCCTTTCCTTTTTATGCTATATACAGGGCCGATCCTGGCGACGGGCGAAAATTGGGGTAACCCCCCCCCCCCGTCGTCGTCAAATTTGGGACATGAGACCGCACAGAGCGGGCGCCTACTCAGGATCGACACTGTCTATATAATTACATATACGCGTTCCGGTAAAAAAAAAATAGCACAACACCACTGTACATTATGCATGTATTATACATATAAATCTTCGTCTTAAATTACTCTATCTATTAAAAAAACCGCATTAAAATCAGTTGTGTAGTTTTAAAGATCTGAGCATACATAGGGACAGACAGCGGGGGAAATGCGTTGTATGATTTCGTTACATAGCAACTCGCATGAAATGAACTTACCTTACCGTGCGTAAAGAAGTTTCACTTCAAAAATTAATCATCCCTACGTACTACCGGATACAGTATAATCTTTCGTCCAGTACAACATTTCTAGCATGAGACTGATTCGTTAATTTTTAAGGTCTAAGTCTGAAACCTGAATTTATTAGGTAATCTTGAAAGTATTTGCTTTTACAAACGGCAACTTCCGCTCTAGAAGAGATTCTTGAGATAAGTCTTCATAGGGCCCATGGTATGGATTAGGTGTATAAAAAATATGTAATATTTACATATAATGAACAATACATATACGCTCTTCATACCTAGTTGAAACAGACCGTGTCGTTTGTCCAACG